TCGATAGGGGATGCTCGGGGCAGTGTTGGGGCCGGCGATGGCATCCTCGATAGGGGATGCTCGGGGCAGTGTTGGGGCCGGCGATGGCATCCTCGCCAGGGAGATGCTCGGGGTGCTGTTCGGGCCGGCGGCGCAGCATCCTCGACCGCAGTGTCCGGATCGCGGCTGCCCCTGCAGTGTCCTTATCGGTGGCTACCCCGGGGCACAACCCGATCGCGGGGGCTCCCCGCATCCCCTCCCCATGATGCGGCACCGCCGGCATCCCATGGGGACAGCGGGGACACGCGGAGCCTGCCCCCAGCTCCCCCACCGCCTCCCGCGGGTCTCCCCGACCCACTCACCAGCGCGGCGGTGCCGAGCAGCACGGTCAGCACCAGGCGCAGCTTGGCCGGCTGGTTCACCCCGGGCGGGATGTCGTAGCCGGGCAGGCCGAGCAGCAGCGCGGCCGCCGCCAGCGCCGCCAGGGGCAGGAGCAGCAGCAGCAGCAGCGCGGGCAGCAGCGCCATGGCCCGGCCGCGGCCCCGCGGGGCTCCCCGGCAGCGCTGGGCAGAGCCGCGGCCCCGTCACGGCCCGAGTGCGGCCGCTCCGCAAAGCCGGCGCAGGGGTCATGGTGCGGGCGGCCGGGGGGAGCCGCGCGGAGCGGCCGAAGGCGCCGGCCGGGTAATCTCGGTTCAAGGAGGCCCGGCGTGACCTGCGCGCGGTACCGCGGAACGGACGGGCCCGGCGCCGCCCCCGCCCCGCCGCCCGCCGCCCGCCGCTCCGCCGGCCGCCGCTCCGCCGCTCCTCCGCTCCGCCGGCCGCCGCTCCTCCGCTCCTCCGCCCCGCCGCTCCTCCGCCCCGCCGCCCGCCGCTCCGCCGCTCCTCCGCTCCTCCGCTCCTCCGCCCCGCCGCTCCTCCGCTCCTCCGCCCCGCCGCCCCGCCGCTCCTCCGCTCCTCCGCTCCGCCGCTCCGCCGGCCGCCGCTCCTCCGCTCCGCCGCTCCTCCGCTCCGCCGCTCCTCCGCTCCTCCGCTCCGCCGCTCCTCCGCTCCGCCGCTCCTCCGCTCCTCCGCTCCGCCGCTCCGCCGCGGCCGCCCCGCCGCTCCTCCGCTCCGCCGCTCCTCCGCTCCTCCGCTCCTCCGCCCCGCCGCTCCGCCGCCCGGGCTCGGGGAAGGGCTGCCCTTCCGCACGGGGGTCTGAACGGCTGCCCTTCCGCACGGCGACACAAGGGAAGCCAGCATTTGTTTTTGTGAATGGTTCTCTGTTGGAACTCAAAATGGCCCTCAGACATTTTTAGAGGTTCCAGGCCTTGGTTTCTGATATATCTCTATTTTAGACCCTGACAGGTAGCTGGAAACAGCTGTGGCTTTGAGTTTGAGCCATGGAATGAGTTACCAACTTTGGAGGTGGAACAAGCAGTCACAAAAGGTTAGATAATATAGTAAAAGTAGTTACAAAACAGAGGGGAAATTTTTTAACACTTGTACAGGGGGGTTTTTACTTTGTACATGGCAGTCAGAAGTTCTAAGATGGAGGAAAGTGGGCTGATCCTGTTCTTCTTCTTCTTCCTTGCCTACATGTTCTTGGTGATGTTGGCACTCACAGATTGGTTTAGAGTAGAAAAGCACTTTGTAATATAGGTAGTAGGCATTGGGGGAAAACTATAAACATGTAATATGTAATATATCATATAAAAGATAGCAGCAGCTGTGGGTGGGAGGAGAGAAGAAGAAGACAGCAGATAGAGAGGATGTCAAGGTGTGTGTGTGCCTCTGCCCAGGCCGCTGACCAAGCAGCCACAGCCTGAGAAGACAATCTTTTAGATAACTCACAATAAACTGCCTTGAGACCAAACAACAAGAGCCTGCACAGTTTTTCTTTGGAATCATGGGTGGGAGGAGAAATTTCACCACCACATGGGACCCCAGAACAAGGCTGGGGCTCCCACAGTTCTGCTTTTCTCAGCCCTGTAGTTTTTTGGCTTTTTTTTTTTCCTGAGGATCTCCTCCAGACGAGGAGCGATGGGCGTATACTAAAACGCAAGTTTCACCCCAACATGTAGAACTTCTTTACATTGAGAGTGACAGTGCCCACAGAGGGTGTGGAGTTTCCCTCTCTGGAGACATTTGAAGCACACCTTGATGTATTCCTACTTCACCTGCTCCAGGTGACCCTGCCTTGGTGAGGGATTGCACTGGATGATCTCCAGAGATCATTCCCAGCCGTAGCAATTCTGTGATTTTCATGTCCTCAGTCTGGCCGTTCTGATTGTGCTCACTGCTGTTCTTCCATGCTTCCATCAGCAGAGTGTAATGAAGCATCATGTCAGGGAAAACAGTGTCTCATCCTGTAAATAAAACTCAAGCCATGGAGAAAACCACAAATTGACAGATTCTAGCACAGAATCACAGCACAGATTCTGCAAAAGTTAATACTGGGGGACACCCTTTGGAAGAACATGAAAGCATTTTCCTTCATATTCTCTAAGCTGTAGCTTTCAGTACACACAGACCAAGAGCCCAGTTCACTGATCCTTCTTGCTTTTCTAAAACCTGATGTCAGCATTTCATTTCAACACTATATCCTACCCTCTGTGAGAATAATGGAGACTTTCCAAAATTAAGAAGGACTTTGTAGAGCTACAATTATTTCAAAATCAGAGCAGCCCTTACTTGCCTCCAGCTAGGTGTGCCCCAGCAACTCTGGCCTTGCACTGCTACTTTTGCAGCCATGGAATATTTGCTCTATCTCCTCACTGAGATCTTGATCTCTGCCTATTTGTCCAGAGCTTTCCCTCCAGCTCACTATCTACCTAGCTTATACTTTTTAGCTAAATTAAGTCATGCTTTGGAGCTTATCAAATGGACATCACAAATAAGCTGGCTATAGAGAAAAACATTTAATCCAAATCATTTCACATAGATTATTTGTATAGAAGTAAATAATTTAGTAATTAAAGACAAGGAATCAATCAGATGCCAACTTGGAAAAAACCACAGCATGTAGAAAAGTTGTACTGTAAAATGTTTGAACTGTCAGGAGTCTCACAAGGAAAAGATCTGTGTTAATTTTAAGCTCATGGATCTCAGAAATAGTATTTTACACATCAAAAGGTATCACATTCTTGCAGAGCAGCACTACCTGAAGTGTGAGAACCTAAGCAGAGTCATTAGTAGGAGAAGCATAACGAGGGAGAGTTCTTTCTACAGGCCTTTTATAAATTCAACAACCCTGTCCAATCCCCTTTTCCCAGATGGAAATGACAAAGCATAATAATCAAATAGGTTTACGATTCCATGGAATCCATCTTCAAGGTGGTACCAGGTCACTGGAACCCCATTGTCCTCCAGCCTCTTCTTGTACAACAAGCCATCGTCCCGCAGCA